CTCACGACCATGTACGGCGGCGGCACGGGCCCCGCGTCGGGCACCTGCGCGACGACGTGCACGCCCGCGCCGAGCCAGGTCGAGATGATGCTCAAGGCGACGGACGGCCTGCCGCTCAATTTCGGGTTCTCGGGCAAGGGCAACGCGAGCGACCCGGCGGGGCTCCGCGAGGTCGTCGAGGCCGGCGCCGCGGGCTTCAAGCTCCACGAGGACTGGGGCACGACGCCCGCGGCCATCGACGCGTGCCTCACCTTCGCGGACGAGCACGACGTCGCCGTCACGATCCACACGGACACGCTCAACGAGTCCGGCTTCGTCGACGACAGCCTCGGGGCCATCAAGGGCCGCACGATCCACACCTACCACAGCGAGGGCGCCGGCGGCGGCCACGCGCCGGACATCATCAAGGTCTGCGGCGAGCCCCACGTCCTGCCGAGCTCGACGAACCCGACGCGGCCCTTCACGGTCAACACCATCGACGAGCACCTCGACATGCTCATGGTCTGCCACCACCTCGACAAGTCCATCCCCGAGGACGTCGCATTCGCCGAGTCGCGCATCCGCGGCGAGACCATCGCCGCCGAGGACATCCTCCACGACATGGGCGCCATCTCCATCATCTCCAGCGACTCCCAGGCCATGGGCCGCATCGGCGAGGTCATCACGCGCACGTGGCAGACCGCGGACAAGATGAAGCGCCAGCGCGGCCCGCTCCCCGAGGACGCGGACGCCGGCGACGACAACACGCGCGTCAAGCGCTACGTCGCCAAGTACACGATCAACCCGGCCATCGCCCACGGCATGGCCGACCACGTCGGCAGCCTCGAGGTCGGCAAGCTCGCGGACATCGTCCTCTGGAAGCCGAGCCACTTCGGCGCCAAGCCCGAGATGGTCGTCAAGGGCGGCACGATCGCCTGGGCCCAGATGGGCGACCCCAACGCGTCCGTTCCCCCGCGTCTGTCCGCGAACCCCGATCCCTCCCCGCGCCCCGATTCCACGGCCTCGTCGTCCCTCGCAGGTCCATCCCGACGCCCCAGCCCGTCAAGATGCGCCCCATGTTCGGCGCCCTCTCCCCGACGGCCGTCGGCGACACGTCGCTCGCCTTCGTGAGCGCCGCCGCCCACGGGCGCGGCGTCCGCGAGGCCTACGGCCTCAACAAGCAGACGGCTGTGTGGAAATCAACCACTGGTTTGGGGGGTCCCCACCAAACTTCAGAACTCTCTATCTCGATCAAATCGAAGTCGATTCGGCTGATTTTTGGACGAATCGATTGCTCTCATCGAGTTCTCGAAGCACAGCCGAAGAGTCCGGCGCAATCCGTTCAATCACGCTCACATTGAAGTCGGGTTGAATATTTGATTTCCACACAGGCAGACGGCGCCGGTCCGCGGCACGCGGACCGTCGCGAAGAAGGACATGGTCCTCAACGACGCGACGCCGACCATCACCGTCGACCCGGAGACCTTCGAGGTCACGGCGGACGGCGAGAGCCTCACCTGCGACCCCGCGACGACCGTGCCCCTCGCGTCGAGCTACTTCCTCTTCTAGGTTTGTGCGCGCGC